ATATGTGAACTCTTGGTTGCTGCATCCACACATTATTTACCAAAGAAGCAAATGTGGCTGTGAAACCATTAAATTTTTGGGTTTATTTGAGTGCTTTATCAATTTATTCTCAATTCAGAAGATAATTGACAATGTTTCATAAATTCTTTAGCCCCAGACATATCCATAATTGAAAATTTAAATCGATTAATTCTTATTTATTATTATTAGTCTATATATGGTATATAGAACGGTAAATTTTAATAAATTTAATTTTTATACAAAAAATTTACCATAATAAAAATTGTATTTCTACTCAGTAGGCACTAGGGCGATTTTTTTCTTTGGGGACCTACCTCCTCGTTTAGCCACCATAAAAATAACGTGAATATTTTTTACAAGGTATCTTCACAAAATTTGGCAGAGATACAATTGCCGAAGAAATTCTTCAGGTCGGACTATTATAGCATATAGCTGTCATTCAAGCTGACCAATTAATTACCCTGTTCTACTATAAAAATGCACCTGTGCTACCTAAGTTAACGTGTTTTCTTATTTGTATTGAAATATTTGGATACAGCTTAGGTAAATCTGTCCGGATCATCATAAATTAACTCGATGCTTTTCTCTTGCCAAAATAATTTTTTATTGTAAATTTGCATTTCAAAGCTTAGAATTTTGTAAAAGGCTTTAAAATAATGGAAAATATAATTGTTCTCTTTTTGTCAAACACTTGACTGATTTTATAATCATTTTATTTACCTCTCCAGACAAACTACGGCTGTCCAACCATGTTTTTTCCCTGTATCCCTGCAGTAAAAGCTGCAAGTAAAAGCCACCAAACTCGTTATTTCGATAAGCTTATAATAAATACTCCAAGCAAGCAGCGAAATGCACATCATTCGTTCACATATTTCAAATATATAAGTAAAATAATTTGGGTAAAATAAAGTAATATACATATGTAAACAGCAAAAACACGACAGGAGCGATAAAACAACATCAAAACAAGAAACGCCGCGAAAAATATTTTTAAAAAAATTAGCTAAAAATCCGCATTCTGCACATGCTTGAAATCTATATTATTTTCTCGTTAATGTACTTTCCATTTTAACATGAGGGTCTTAGCACACCACATAAATACACTGGAGCTCACACAGTAACTACCAAAAATTTTGTGCGAACTTTGCTGCTGCCCATTCACCGATTTTGCCAGCGATGGGTTTTCACTTGACTCTTGTAATGTTTTTTTTTATATTTTTTTTTGCTTTGGCAGCGTTTACACTTTTTGCTGGCGCTTCCAAGTGTATATTTACTACATATTGTATACATTTTTTTGCGAATGTATTTTTAGCTTGTCGTTCAACAATTGCAAATTTAAGCAGTCAAGCGCTTGTAGGCTCCCAATTACAAGTGCCAACATGTACTCATATGAGTATAGTTACGTACCCAGTAGTAAGAAGAAAAAACGTTAACTGCGGTTGCACCGAAGCTATAATGCCCTTCACAAATACAAAGGTTCCTTACAAGAAATTGATTCCGATCGTTCAATTTGTATGGCAGCTATATGATATACTACTAGTTATCGGATCTGAACAATTTCTTCAAAGATTACACTGTTGTCTTTGACAACAATTCATGCCTAATTTTGTGAAGATACCTTATCAAATAAAAAAGTTTTCCACGCTAGCACTTTATTTCGATCGTTTAGTTTATATGGCAGATATATGCTGTGGTCCGATATCGGCCTTTCCGACAAATGAACAGGCGAAATTTTAGAACAATTGCTTAAAAACTGAGGGACGTATATATACAGACAGACGGACAGACGGACATGACTAAATCAACTCAGCTCATCATGCTAAGCATTTATATATGTCTATATTTTATAGGGTCTCCAACGTTTCCTTCTGGGTATTACAAACTTCGTGGCAAACTTAATATACCCTGTTCAGGGTATAAAAATTATTAGCATGGAGAAAAGTGTTTTAATAGAATTATTAATGGGTAAGTGAGTTCTGAATATGTACATAATATTACATAATATACCTAAATAATTTTCTCTTGTATATATTACAAGTATATTTCAGTTGATGGAGCTCACATATTTTTTCGGAAAGCTGACTTATATAAATTCTATTAATTTGTTTTCTGCGTATTTTATTTATGACATCTTTTATTAAAATAATTATATATATTTTTTGAAGAACATATTTTTATATTTTTTTTCTTTTTTGTATTTTTAGACAGCTAAACTGATCAAACCATAGATCATATATTTGGACAGCTCTAATCTGGCTGTGTGGATAGTGGAGTGCTATTGAAAGAGGTATTCTTATACACAGAAGGAATACAAGACAGTTTTAGTACCTCTCCATCCGATGACATTTTCATATATATGTAATTATTATTGAAATTATTTTTGCAGTGTTTAATGTCTTCAGTTTGATACCATAGAACAATGTTTCTTTATATCAGCAATTTAGTTGAATACAGGTTTTTTTTTTTAAAGTGGCAACTTTATAAAAAATATTTTTAACCCTATGCTTTTTTACAACTTCCGTTTAAATATATTCTTTAGCTTATACATTTTTTGACTCCAAAATTTCAAACATATGGCAACTGTAAACATTTTTTGCTTCCAATACAAATATTACAAAAAATCAAAAAAAATTATCCATAATGATTAAGTGTTTAATTTGCTGTCGCTCTCATAGTACGAATGTGACGGAATTTCGTTACGCAACGCAATTTCGTTGCTGCTAAAACAAAGCGTCATAAAATAGACAAGAATTTCAATATGAATACAAAGAAATCTTTACTCATAAATACAGCTCGCACATAATATGTAAATATTACTGTGATCTGCACCTGAATTATTTTGCTTTGAATATCTTAAGGAACTTAAGATTTCTCACGCTAGAATGGCGCAGCGGCGCAGAGGCCAAATTTTATGTGTAGGTTTCGTTTAAAATATTTCGTATACTGTTTGCTATGAAAAGACTAACCTAATACAACCTAAATCTTAAAACAACAACAAATAAACACGCTAGCGTTATTTATGCTCGACGCTTGAGCACAATTTGTTTGCTTGCCTTATTTCCAGCAAGTGGAAAAAACTCACTGGCGACTTATCCGGTTTAAAAAAAATCTAAAAAAATAAATTTGCAACTAAATAAATCAAATCTGAATTGCTAAATTCACTAAACGCGCAGACCGCAAAAAAAACCCGAGATTACATATATGCAATCAACAAACAAGTGCAGCCTCAACAACAAATAAAACTAAAAATAAACATACGAAAACGCATATTTAACCGAAAATGGATTTGGCAATTGCCAAAAGTGCACACAACACGCAACGGAGGCAGTCGCCAAGAAGTGGGTCAACATTGCGCTGGCCAAAAAGTGCGACTGTGGAGGCAAAAAACGCGAACAAAAATCAATTGAAGTGAAATGATTAAGTAAAAAAAAAAACTACTCAAGAGACCCGAAAGAGAACATGTTTTATAAAGTTTAAATTTTTTACTGCAACAAAAACAAAGAGTGCATGCATTCATTTTCATAAAAGCACTGACGCTGCCGCAGGGCATTCCAATGCGCGTTACTCGGCGGCGCTGGGTGTCACAGCTCCCAAGAAGTGTTTACATGCAAGTTGCCGTTGCTGCAACACACCTTTCCACTGACCAGTTTTCGCTGAATGGCCAAACGTGCGAATATGCAATAATTGGCAGCAACAACAGCAGCAGCGGCGCGTTGCAACATACAATGCTAACACACAGAGAAAAAAAACACGAAAATGCAAACAATTTCGAAAAATGGGCACAAAAAAGAGGACGCAATAACGCCGATTATTGCACGCGCAGTGGAAAATTGCTTTGCTTGCCAGCGACGGGCGTGCTGTGTGCCAACAACATGTTGCACATGCATTATTGCTCGCAAACTGATATGCAATATGCGCCCAAGCGGTTGAAAAGTTTATGTAGTCTGAGAATTTCTAGTTTGATGCATTTATACTTGTATACTTTCATGGAGCTTAAGCTGTAAAAAGAACTAAAGTATGATCGCTTAGAGTTCGTAAACCTAAAAAAAGTTGTTAGTTAACCTCAAGTCAAACAAAAAAGGGTTCCATACAAGACCTTAATTTTGATCGTTCAGTTTGTATGGCAGCTATATGCTATAGTGGTCCGATATCGGCGGTTCGCACAAATGTGCAGCTTGGGAAGAAAAGGAAAACTGAGAGACTAGTTCGCGTACCTACTAGTACAGATAGACAGACGGACATGGCTAAATCGACTCAGCTCGTCACGTCTTTTGTGTATGTATATATTTTTAGGGCCTTCGACATTTTCTTCTGGGTGTTACAAAGTTCGTGGCAAACTTAATATACCCTTTCAGGGAATACAAATTATACATATTTGAACGACCTAAGATATAGTTCCTTCACTACCTAAGACTTTTCTATAAGCCAGTTAACATGGTATTGATTGCCTTAAAAAAAGTACCTTCTAAAGCTTCATATATGATGTTTTGTCAATTTATAATCATTTTATACGTATATACATATCTGAAAAGCCACTTATATTATAGAAACATAATAAAAAGTTGTTTGACCTGCTTATTAAAATAATATAAACATTCACTTTGAATCATAAACTTCCGTTTATAAAATCCCTCCTCTGCAAGTATAATATGTTTATTTCAAGCGTAAGTGAAATATATGGCAACCTTTTAAGGAAAATAGAATAAAATTTGGTACGGTCAAAGGTAATATAACGACTTGACTCTGATCTCCCTACAACGATTACGCGTAACGATACTTCTAGTTCAGGTTCTAGCTCAATGCACATTCTGATCTATTTGCTCTTAGGTAGTTACGAGTTTCTTTGTCTTTTTATCGTGTGTTTTATTGGAATATCTCGATAAGGTTGGAATATAGCAAAGTACTATATATGCTGATCGATTATCGATTATTTACAAATAAAATATTTTTTGTCAGTTTAAATTATACTAAGTACTTACATTTTTATTGTGAAGTTCCAACTAAAACTTGTTTTAGAAAGGATCCCGCAAAACACTGGCTTTAAATAACTTAGTAGCAATATTTAGTCTGAAAATAAAAATAAAAATAAAACGTTTTCCATTAAAAGCAAAGAAAAATGAAAAAAAATTAAACTTTAAATTTTTATTCCCAAAATCGGTATTAAAATTTGAAAATCTAATTTGTAATTTCAAACTTAATCATAACGATATTTTGTTAAATATAATTTAATTTAATTATTTCAAAATTTTTAATCCAAGAGGATTGAGATTAAAAATTGAAAATTCAATAATAAAAACATCTAGGATTAAAAATGGAGAAAATATTTTTTAAATTTAAAATTTAAAATCTTTAAAATTAAAATTTGGAATAAAAAAGTATAGTTTTAATTATTTAATTAATCTTAATCCCAAATACCGGATTGAAAAATATAAAAAAATGTAATCTGAAGCTACTATAATTGAGATTAAAAAAACAAATAGTTTTAGAATTTCAATTGTGTCGCCTTTGCGTTAGTTAAAAGACTTTAGCTGGAAAACTATGATATATAAATTTCAATTAAAAACTCTAACAAAAAAGTCGTTTATCTTTGCAGAATCTCACTCTCTAATGTAAATATTTTTTATTTTTATAATACTTTTTCCTTAAAAATAAACATGTAAAGATTATTTAATTAAAAATGAAAAGCAATATTCAATTGTAATCCAAAGTTTAAAAGTGAAATTTCTCGATTGGCTCGTTACGACCCTGTTGGAGATCGTAAACTAACAACGAGAAAAGAAAACAACAAAAAATAAAATGAATAATGAAGTAAAAATGCATTGCAAGCTGAAAAATAATTCACACACTGATCGAAGTGATTAAGTTAAAAAATAAAACAATGGAAGTATATATGTATGCCATTCCAGCTGCCCACACGCTGCTGCTGGCCGAGCGTTCACTCCTTCACTTCTTGGCCGGTCGATAATCAGTGGCGCGGTCAACCAAAGCCTGAGAAACAAATGAGCTGCTTGTAAGCCAAAGAAGTTGGTCGCTGCAGATTGTATTCGGCCAAGCGCTTGGCCTTACTAAATTTTCACAACAACACGGGTAGCGCGCGTTAAGTCAAAAGTCAAATTTTTAAGCGTGAGCAAACACTTGCAAGCGGGCACACACATACACACAGGTATATTAGTTTAGAAGTGTGAAGTGCTTGTGAGCAGCCAAAGGAAAGAGAATTATGATTGCAGCAACAATTTTCAGCAACATTTGTGTGCTTATTTATGTATGTATGCATATTGTAGATGCAATTTTATATATATACATACATATGTCTGTATGTATCTATGTTCATATCTGAATATATATGTATATCATATCAAAAAAATCCAGAATTTACGCTATGACTAGGAAAAGCACTCTAGCACATACTTAAGCAAATAAGCAAGTAGTTTTAACAATAACAACAATTACAAAAACATCAATAATTTCATAGCAATAAAGTGCAGTGAAACTTTGGCATAAAATTGCCAAGAACAACAAGTAAAGAGACCAATTGATTTGTACAACAACAACGACAATTATATACTCTTACATATGTATAAATATATTTGTAAGCGTGTGGGTAAGTATGTCTGAAAGCTTCAAGCGAAAAATTGCTACATCAGCGCGTTTGAATGAATGAATTGCATACCAAAGAGTTAACGAAGCGACCAAACGATCGGCCGTTCGACCGCCGAACAGTCACCTACCCACCAGCATTTGGCGAATGTAGCAGAAGGCGCACACACACACATCTATACATACCATGATTACTTGATTCGAATGGTGCTCGGCACACATTTGCCAATAGAAAAAGCCGCTAGTGCCAAAATAAAAACAATAACAACAGAAACAGCAACAAATGGAACAATAAAGCATAAATAGTAAACAATGTATTGCAACAAGAAAAACAATCACCATTAGACGCCATTAAGTTATTTGGCATGCAGCTGCCGTTGCAGTTGCTGTTGCTGGTGTTGCTAATGCAATTGTTGCTGCCAATACGAGTACCTTAGCAAATATAATTTTAATATATATATGTATGTGTAAACGCCATTTGGGCCATTTGAACCTTCATACGTTCCATGATGTAAACAATAATATGTAGGTGTGTATGTGTGTGATAGTAAATGCTACTCACAACTGTCATTTGGCGAATGGATGCTGCCGTCTGCAGGCAAATAAGTAGATAGGTATGTACTGTATATATGTATGTGTACCACTCGTTGAAGTAGGTAATGGAATTTGGACGCCACTATTTTGCAATACAGCTGTGTCAGCTCTGGTAAACTAAAAAAGTTCCACATGGGGTGCAATTTATTAGGTGCGAATCCATAAGTGGGTTAAAATATATAAAAACTAACATTTTGTGTCATGTTGAAATTCATTGTGTTGGCGTCAGAAAGATAGTAGAGGATCTCAACATCTCTTATAGATCATCTCAACCATTTTAGTTAATGTCTTATGTATAAAACGCGTTAATGCCAGACTTATACTAAAAATCCTGGATGCACCCTCATATTATAGTATTATATTTAATCAAGGCTCAGCCACCAAATTCGGCAGATTTGGCTCCCTTTGACTTTTTCTGTTTTCAAAATCAATTAAATCGAAAAGTTCGGGTAAAATTCGATTTTGAGTTCATATATAAACTTTATATATAAATTATTTTGACAAAACTGTTTTTTTATTTCTCCAAAATGGTATATTTTTTGAAAGTCTTTATGAAATGAAACATCTAATGGGAGTTCGGGAAAGGTTGCGTTAAAGGTTTAACGCCATTGATAATGGAAGGAGAAAAAGAAAGAAAGAGTGAGAGAGCTGCACAGTAAGTGTTGATACCTTAGTCAGGGAAGCATTAAGTGGTTTTCAATGCGAGTCTTTGAATTGTGTTGATTTGTGTAATAAATTCTTTTTAGAATCAGTTTATTAATTTTAAATTTTCATACAAAATATTTTGGAGTGTAATATTAGTGTGTGCTGCTTTTGCGATTTTAATGTAATTAAAATGAGTGAAAAGTAGGCTACAGGGGACGCAGTGCAGCCGAGGTTTGCTGTCGAATATATTGAAATTGTTTGTTGCAAAAAAAAAATTGGGTTTGCTTGTGTTACAATAACATTGATTTTAAACCTTTCATGTTTAGAATTTACATATTATATAATTCAATCTATAAGAGATATTTAATGTTGTGTCTCTCTCTCTCATGCGGAAATTCTGCAAAAGGCCTGCATGGCATACAATGTTCAAAATATTGTTTTTGCTATTTTTGTGGTGCATTCATGCAACATACATGTCACTGCATACCAAATATTTGGTCGCAGAAATTGCGTTACGCTGGATTGAATGCTAAGACCCTATTGATCATGTTGCTTTGGCATTGGGCCATACTGTTCTTGCTGTTGTTGCGCTGTATGAAACACCAACAACGGCAACAAGAATAGGCAATTGAAGTTTTTGCTGAGCTAAAACACTGTTAAGCTGCTCGATTTGGACCACGCTTCACCGACTTGTGCCGCTTTTGGCCGTCTACTGCACGATTGTAAAAAGTGTTTGTTTTGTTGTTGTTGTTATAATTATTTGATGTTACCTAAACCACTTGTACGCTCAATTCGTTTTAGGTTCGGTTTGGTTTGGTATTTTGAAAGCTTTGCCTTTTTGTATGCATATTTTTTTTGTATTTTAGGCACAGCAGTTGTTGTTGTTTTAGTATGTTTTTTTTCTAGATGCCTTGGTTTTATCTTAATTATGTTTGTTATTGTGGTGACCATGTTTTTGCTGCTCGCTCTTGTCCATTTTGTTGCACTACTTTAGCGATCACTATTGCCACTGTGGCTGTTGTTGTTATTGTAGTTGCTGTTGCTGTTTCAAATGTGTTATTAGTGTCGCATCGTTCCACTGTTACGTGAGAAAATTTGTAAGTCAACATTTTAGTTGCGGTATTTTTTGCCGCAAATTGCTTTTACGCTGCCACTAAGGTGTATGTGTATGTGTATGTTTGCATGTGTGTACAGGCATGAATTTGGTCAATAGCTTTGCCAGGTTATCTTTGCACATTATTAGTTAGTTTCGTTGTTGTTGTTGTGTTGCTATATTGTTCTAGCTGTGTGCTCAACTTACCGCAATCGCTTGGCACGTTTACTTCGTGTTTTGCGTTTGATTGTTTGTTATTGCTGTTTTTCTACGTTCTTACTGCCTTATAATTTTGTTTTTTGTTTTATGATTTTTTCTGGCTATTAGCCATTTATTGATTTAAATTCGTTTGCACAACTTTGCCGTGTGATGCAAACTGAAGTTCGTCCAAAGTTGGGCTTGCCCCACTCTGTTATTTGGGTGTACACACGCATACATGTGTAGATAGTTAAGTATCTGCATATACATATATCATTAATGAGTGTAGAATATGCGCCAAAGCGTTAGATTTCGAAAATATTAACCGCGTCTGTAATTTAGCACGAATTACTCGTAAATATTTTTCAAAAAAATTAAATGTACGCGTCATACGTAATTGCATAATATACGTATATTAAATATAAATTATAGTTATTCATTCACGTTTTTGAAATAAATATTTAATAATTATTTGAAGCATTATATTTTTTAAAATTTTTTTTTTAGCATTTTGTAGTTAGACCCAACCTCCATTAGACACGTGTATAAATCGAATAGATTTTGAGCAAAGGGTACGTAGGATGTGGAATATTTAGTACCAAAAAAATTGACAAAAAGAATACTATTTTTGACCAAAAAATTCCGCTGATATAAAAAGTGGTTTCGAAAATATTATCTGGTCTATACGCAGGAAGAAGCTATATATGAAGATCGAAAACTATGACAAATAGGCTGTCATTGACGACAAATGAAAAAATCCATAAATTGAAGTTGGATGATCGAAAAATGAATCTGCTCAAAAAATCGGACACTCAAAAAGTATCACAATAACGTGGGTATACATGAATATGTAGGTATGCTAAACTTCTGTCCAAAGTGGTTGCCGATCGGGCTCATAGTCGATAGGCCGCAAATAATTAGAGTTTAAGAAAAAATTCTC